AAATCTGCATTCAAATTTGGAAATTTATTTTTTCGACCTTTTTTTGTAATTTTTTGATGTTATGATGTTGTAGAAATTCAAAAATGACCAAAGGCTGAAGTTCCGAAGTCCATAACTCAACTTATCTTAATCGGATTTTGAAGTGGCATACCTCTAAATGTTTCTGGAGCAATTATCTATAAATCTGCATTCAAATTTGAAAAATTATTTTTTCGACATTTTTTTGTAATTTTTTGATGTTATGATGTTGTAGAAATTCAGAAATGTCCCAAGACTGAAGTTCCAAAGTCCATAACTCAACTAATCTTAATCGGAATTTGAAGTGGCATGCCTCTAAATGTTTCTGGAGCAATTATCTATAAATCTGCATTCAAATTTGGAAATTTATTTTTTCGACATTTTTTTGTAATTTTTTGATGTTATGACGTTGCAGAAATTCAGAAATGTCCCAAGGCTGAAGTTCCGAAGTCCATAACTCAACTTATCTTAATCGGATTTTGAAGTGGCATACCTCTAAATGTTTCTGGAGCAATTCTCTAAAAAACTGCATTCAAATTTAGAATTTTATTTTTTTTGAAATTTTTTGTAATTTTTCTGATGTTATGATGTTGTAGAAATTCAAGAATGACCCAAGACTGAAGTTCTAAGGTCCATAACTCAACTAATCTTAATCGGAATTTGAAGTGGCATACCTCTAAATGTTTCTGGAGCAATTCTCTAAAAAACTGCATTCAAATTTAGAATTTTATTTTTTTTGAAATTTTTTGTAATTTTTCTGATGTTATGATGTTGTAGAAATTCAGAAATGTCCCAAGACTGAAGTTCCAAAGTCCATAACTCAACTAATCTTAATCGGAATTTGAAGTGGCATGCCTCTAAATGTTTCTGGAGCAATTATCTATAAATCTGCATTCAAATTTGGAAATTTATTTTTTCGACATTTTTTTGTAATTTTTTGATGTTATGACGTTGCAGAAATTCAGAAATGTCCCAAGGCTGAAGTTCCGAAGTCCATAACTCAACTTATCTTAATCGGATTTTGAAGTGGCATACCTCTAAATGTTTCTGGAGCAATTCTCTAAAAAACTGCATTCAAATTTAGAATTTTATTTTTTTTTAAATTTTTTGTAATTTTTCTGATGTTATGATGTTGTAGAAATTCAAGAATGACCCAAGACTGAAGTTCTAAAGTCCATAACTCAACTAATCTTAATCGGAATTTGAATTGGCATACCTCTAAATGTTTCTGGAGCAATTCTCTAAAAAACTGCATTCAAATTTAGAATTTTATTTTTTTTGAAATTTTTTGTAATTTTTCTGATGTTATGATGTTGTAGAAATTCAAGAACGACCCAACACTGAAGTTCTAAGGTCCATAACTCAACTAATCTTAATCGGAATTTGAAGTGGCATACCTCTAAATGTTTCTGGAGCAATTCTCTAAAAAACTGCATTCAAATTTAGAATTTTATTTTTTTTGAAATTTTTTGTAATTTTTCTGATGTTATGATGTTGTAGAAATTCAGAAATGTCCCAAGACTGAAGTTCCAAAGTCCATAACTCAACTAATCTTAATCGGAATTTGAAGTGGCATGCCTCTAAATGTTTCTGGAGCTATTATCTATAAATCTGCATTCAAATTTGGAAATTTATTTTTTCAACATTTTTTTGTAATTTTTTGATGTTATGATGTTGTAGAAATTCAAAAATGACCGAAGGCTGAAGTTCTAAAGTCCTTAACTCAACTTATCTTAATCGGATTTTGAAGTGGCATACCTCTAAATGTTTCTGGAGCAATTATCTATAAATCTGCATTCAAATTTGGAAATTTATTTTTTGACCTTTTTTTTGTAATTTTTTGATGTTGTAGAAATTCAAGAATGACCCAAGACTGAAGTTCTAAGGTCCATAACTCAACTAATCTTAATCGGAATTTGAAGTGGCATACCTCTAAATGTTTCTGGAGCAATTCTCTAAAAAACTGCATTCAAATTTAGAATTTTATTTTTTTTGAAATTTTTTTGTAATTTTTTGATGTTATGATGTTGTAGAAATTCAAAAATGACCAAAGGCTGAAGTTCCGAAGTCCATAACTCAACTTATCTTAATCGGATTTTGAAGTGGCATACCTCTAAATGTTTCTGGAGCAATTATCTATAAATCTGCATTCAAATTTGGAAATTTATTTTTTCGACATTTTTTTGTAATTTTTTGATGTTATGATGTTGCAGAAATTCAGAAATGTCCCAAGACTGAAGTTCCAAAGTCCATAACTCAACTTATCTTAATCGGAATTTGAAGTGGCATACCTCTAAATGTTTCTGGAGCAATTATCTATAAGTCTACATTCAAATTTGGAAATTTATTTTTTCGACATTTTTTTGTAATTTTTTGATGTTATGATGTTGTAGAAATTCAGAAATGTCCCAAGACTGAAGTTCCGAAGTCCATAACTCAACTTATCTTAATCGGATTTTGAAGTGGCATACCTCTAAATGTTTCTGGAGCAATTATCTATAAATCTGCATTCAAATTTGGAAATTTATTTTTTCGACATTTTTTTGTAATTTTTTGATGTTATGACGTTGCAGAAATTCAGAAATGTCCCAAGGCTGAAGTTCCGAAGTCCATAACTCAACTTATCTTAATCGGATTTTGAAGTGGCATACCTCTAAATGTTTCTGGAGCAATTCTCTAAAAAACTGCATTCAAATTTAGAATTTTATTTTTTTTTAAATTTTTTGTAATTTTTCTGATGTTATGATGTTGTAGAAATTCAAGAATGACCCAAGACTGAAGTTCTAAAGTCCATAACTCAACTAATCTTAATCGGAATTTGAATTGGCATACCTCTAAATGTTTCTGGAGCAATTCTCTAAAAAACTGCATTCAAATTTAGAATTTTATTTTTTTTGAAATTTTTTGTAATTTTTCTGATGTTATGATGTTGTAGAAATTCAAGAACGACCCAACACTGAAGTTCTAAGGTCCATAACTCAACTAATCTTAATCGGAATTTGAAGTGGCATACCTCTAAATGTTTCTGGAGCAATTCTCTAAAAAACTGCATTCAAATTTAGAATTTTATTTTTTTTGAAATTTTTTGTAATTTTTCTGATGTTATGATGTTGTAGAAATTCAGAAATGTCCCAAGACTGAAGTTCCAAAGTCCATAACTCAACTAATCTTAATCGGAATTTGAAGTGGCATGCCTCTAAATGTTTCTGGAGCTATTATCTATAAATCTGCATTCAAATTTGGAAATTTATTTTTTCAACATTTTTTTGTAATTTTTTGATGTTATGATGTTGTAGAAATTCAAAAATGACCGAAGGCTGAAGTTCTAAAGTCCTTAACTCAACTTATCTTAATCGGATTTTGAAGTGGCATACCTCTAAATGTTTCTGGAGCAATTATCTATAAATCTGCATTCAAATTTGGAAATTTATTTTTTGACCTTTTTTTTGTAATTTTTTGATGTTGTAGAAATTCAAGAATGACCCAAGACTGAAGTTCTAAGGTCCATAACTCAACTAATCTTAATCGGAATTTGAAGTGGCATACCTCTAAATGTTTCTGGAGCAATTCTCTAAAAAACTGCATTCAAATTTAGAATTTTATTTTTTTTTGAAATTTTTTGTAATTTTTCTGATGTTATGATGTTGTAGAAATTCAGAAATGTCCCAAGACTGAAGTTCCAAAGTCCATAACTCAACTAATCTTAATCGGAATTTGAAGTGGCATGCCTCTAAATGTTTCTGGAGCTATTATCTATAAATCTGCATTCAAATTTGGAAATTTATTTTTTCAACATTTTTTTGTAATTTTTTGATGTTATGATGTTGTAGAAATTCAAAAATGACCGAAGGCTGAAGTTCTAAAGTCCTTAACTCAACTTATCTTAATCGGATTTTGAAGTGGCATACCTCTAAATGTTTCTGGAGCAATTATCTATAAATCTGCATTCAAATTTGGAAATTTATTTTTTCGACCTTTTTTTGTAATTTTTTGATGTTATGATGTTGTAGAAATTCAAAAATGACCCAAGGCTGAAGTTCTAAAGTCCTTAACTCAACTTATCTTAATCGGAATTTGAAGTGGCATGCCTCTAAATGTTTCTGGAGCTATTATCTATAAATCTGCATTCAAATTTGGAAATTTATTTTTTCAACATTTTTTTGTAATTTTTTGATGTTATGATGTTGTAGAAATTCAAAAATGACCGAAGGCTGAAGTTCTAAAGTCCTTAACTCAACTTATCTTAATCGGATTTTGAAGTGGCATACCTCTAAATGTTTCTGGAGCAATTATCTATAAATCTGCATTCAAATTTGGAAATTTATTTTTTCGACCTTTTTTTGTAATTTTTTGATGTTATGATGTTGTAGAAATTCAAAAATGACCCAAGGCTGAAGTTCTAAAGTCCTTAACTCAACTTATCTTAATCGGATTTTGAAGTGGCATACCTCTAAATGTTTCTGGAGCAATTATCTATAAATCTGCATTCAAATTTAGAAATTTTAGTTTTGTAATTTTTTTTTAATATTTCTAATGTTATAATGTTGTAGAAATTAAAAAAATGTTCCAAGGCTGAAGTTCCAAAGTCCATAAGTCAACCTATCTTAATCGGATTTTTAAGTGGCATTATTGAAGAATGTTGTTATATTTTTTTCCTTTTTTATTAGTCTTGTAAATTTCTATCGATTTTCCAAATATCGTTTTACTACGCCCACTCTACCGACCACAATTCGCGCGTTTGAAATTTTTTTTTGCATTTTGTTTACAATATTTCAGAAAGTGTTGAATATTCTCGTTTGCACTTTCACTAGCTGAGTAACGGGTATCTAATAGTCGGAGAACTCCACTGTAGCATTCTATCTTGTTATTTGAAGTTTTGACATGAACGTTTATTCATATTTCAAGTGATTAGTCACAATACATTTCAAAAGGTACTAAATAAATTTTTGTAAACTCAATAGGCAGAAAATTATAGTAAAATATAATTGTTCACTGAGCACGTACGAATCTGATAATATATTTAATATTTTATTATGAGCGCAAGCGTCATGTACATTCCGGTCTATATCAACTAAGTTAACTACATTTTAGAATATTCCGTTAGTTAGGTTTGGGTGGTTTTGGTTTCTTGTTGTTTCGGTATAATCATGTTTTCTAGGGGCTTAACCAAACCAATGCCCGTTTTAGCAACATTGTGTATTACATTTTCCTGTAAAAATAGAAATGTTTAAGCTTCAATGTATTATACAATTGTTTACAAACGAAACAAACCATTTTGTCAATAATATCAACAAAGAAAGCATCCGATTGACCCACGCTGATGGCCAAGATGAGGGTCAGGACGACAAGGACCAAGAAGTATTTCATAACTGGATCGTTGGGTTTTCCGAAAACGAATTTTGGGGTGTAATAATAAAGGGAATTTTGAGACTGAAGATTTGGACTGAAAAGCAAGTGGTTTTATAGGCAATCAACCCACCGAAAAACGTTAGCAATAATAATTAGGCTTTAAATTTGTACTGCAATATGCTTAAAAACAAATTACACGTGCCATCGCATTTCAATACATTTAAGGGTTTTATTCAAGAGTAAGTTTCTTGGAAGTAGATAAAAACTTAACATTTAATAATGTTCTTTAGTTCCAAATGTCAAATGGCACTGGTAACTATCATCCATCCTAGTAATTCCGAAACAAATTTAAAATATGGAAAGAGCGTGGACAAAACATAATCTTTCATTTCCATTCCCAATCGTTTAAAATTTGTTTAAATTTGTTTATTTCATTGGCTATTTGTTTTATTAACGGCTACTGTGGAATCACTTGCGCCCTCTGTGAGGCTTAAATAGCGGGGCTTAAAATGGGCTTAAAAGTCCCAATCGTTTAAAATTTGTTTAAATTTGTTTATTCTGTTTTTTTTTTTGTTTATTTGTTTATTGGCATAGGAGTTTAAAAAATCCTTGAAACTATTTGTTTTATTAACGGCAACTGTGGAATCACTCGCGCCCTCTGTGGGGCTTTAATAGCAACCTTAGTGGAGACACACACCGTAACAGCATGGACAGTAACCTTAAAGTAACCTATCGATATATATGTCGAAGACTTTTATTATTTCATTATCTTAGACAAAAAGTGATCGGAGGTATATTAGGTATTATTAACTAAAAATAATAAGAAATAAGAAAAGAAAATAAGAAATAAATCTTTAAAGTTTAATATTAAAATTTGAACAAATATGAACCCATAGTTGCATAAAATGTTATCGATACTGGCTCATATTTGCGTTGTATATACTCTTCGCTCAGATTTATCGATATATTCGAGCAATACATTAAATTCCTGAAACATGTCAAATAAATATAAAACAAATCTCTGTAATTCGTGTTGTTTTACTTTGTTAAATATGATAACTTAGGCAATTTGCCGGCTGTCTGCCTATTTATTGCCTGTGCGCCATTATCGATAGTATCGAGCAAGCATCGCGCGTGCCGCATCGATAACAACTAGCTCTTTGTTCCACCTCTACGTCGTGGCTCGACTTCCTTTCCTGTCAAAATAGTCGACAAAGGTGGTACTTTTTTTCTTACGCCGCCGAAAATGGCCAAATTGCGCGCCCGCCACAACGCAGTGCAGCGAAATAATAAGAGAAAAAGCCACAGCGACAATGGCCAATGGCGATTTTCGAGTGAATCCAGTGAAATGCTGGCGAATTAACGCCGATTGCCGGCGATTAGTGATTGCATTGCGTTGTGTGGACGCGGCTTCCCCCAAATTCCGAATTGTGTTTGTAATTGAAACCGAAAACCTAAAATACCGGTGATGCACATTTGCAGATGGCTATCGGCTCCAAGATTATCAAGCCCGGCGGCTCGGATCCCGATGACTTCGAGAAGTCCATTGCCCAGGCGCTGGTGGAACTCGAGGCCAACAGCGACCTGAAGCCCTACCTGCGCGATCTGCACATCACCCGTGCCCGCGAGATCGAGTTCGGCAGCAAGAAGGTGAGTAGCCCATGGTGTACATGTTGTGCCGCCGGTAGTAATCCATAACCCACCCTCTCTGCGCACAGGCCGTCATCATCTACGTGCCCATTCCACAGCAGAAGGTGTTCCAGAAGATCCAGATCATCCTGGTCCGCGAGCTGGAGAAGAAGTTCTCGGGCAAGCACGTCGTCGTGATTGCTGAGCGCAAGATTCTGCCCAAGCCCACGCGCAAGGCCCGCAATCCTCTCAAGCAGAAGCGTCCACGCTCCAGGACTCTGACCGCTGTGTACGACGCCATTCTCGAGGATCTGGTCTTTCCCGCCGAGATCGTGGGCAAGCGCATCCGCGTCAAGCTGGACGGCTCCCAGCTGGTCAAGGTGCACCTGGACAAGAACCAGCAGACCACCATCGAACACAAAGTAAGCATAGAATCCAACGTCCAACTCAAAGCAGAGTGCATCGTGTGTCTAGCAGCGCGTACCCTCGATATTTGGGCCTTCCCTGCCATGGAGCCCAATCTTCGCCAGGGGACGCAGAGCAGCCAGGGCCAATTACTCGTTATTGCAGGCATTAGAAGCCATTGCGGTCCTGCATCTCCAAATATTGGTCACAGTTGATCTGATACACCGTTCTTGTGTTTTTCGCTGGTTGTCTCACCAAAACCAGTGATTGTCAAACAGAACGTAAATTAATGGCAGCTATCACTCCACAATGTTGAGCCTAACTACCACGGCTACTGCATTACTTTCCGGCTCGCCACATTACCACGTCTTCAAATTAATACTTGAAACCAAGCACTAGAATCACAAGTCAAATGGAAATGGGGATCCTCGATATAATGACATTTTATAAGGAGTTTATAAGGCCAAATGTACAAGTAACTGCCCATCGTTTTTGTGTTATTTGCTGGAAGTTATATCCAAAGCCAGTGATTGTCAAACAGAACGTAAATCAATGGCAGCTATCACTCCACAATGTTGAGCCTTCCTCCCACGGCTACTGCATTACTTTCCGGCTCGCCACACTTCCTCGGAACAACCTATCTTTTGAAAGCCTTGGCTTCTGCTACCGTTCTTGTGTTATTCGCTGGATGTTTCCATGGTCTAGCGAGCGTCAAACAGAACGCATACTGAAGCAACGAATCACTCCACAATGGTGGGTCTACTTCAGCCAGGACTGCATCATTACTAAAGGCTTGCTACAGCTGAAAAACTGCCAGAACTCCTGATTGTAAATACCGTTCTTGTGTTATTCGCTAAGCGATCACCCAAGCTCAGCGATTGTCAAACAGAACGTAAATTAACGGCCGCTAATCACTCCACAATGTTGAGCCGACTTGCCACGGCTACTGCATTACTATCCTATGCGCCACATTTGAATACTTCGGTCTCTATCTCCGTTCTTGTGTTATTTTCTGGACGTTCTTCAAGTCCAGCGATCGTCAAACAGAACGCACAGCAAGGCAACGAATCACTCCACAATGGTGGGTCTACTTTACCAGGACAGCATCATTACTTAAGGATTGCAACATTCATAGTATCTATTATTAGTTTAAACACACACGATGCGCTTTGAGTGCCGCCTATTTGCCTCCCGAGCGCCGTTTAGTTTCCTGGTGCCTTGGGACTTCCTATATAAGCGGAAGATAAATCCAGCTTGCCGCACGATATCTTCGCTGCAGTACTTTCTGCTGCAGCGGAGGTGGCGGTGCTGTACACTGCAATGAATAACTGAATTCCCGTGATGATGTCCACTAACATGTGTTGTTTCTCCCCTGCCAGGTCGACACCTTCACCTCGGTCTACAAGAAGCTGACTGGTCGCGATGTTACCTTCGAATTCCCCGACAACTACCTGAATGTCTAGAGCGGGTTCTCGTTCGAGAGTAGCACTGGTTCGCCGGTTCATCTGGGAATATGAGTTTTTTACATGAGCTAGAGAACGTGAATAAACATTAAACAATCTAAAACTAAGCAAACTTCCAATTAAGCCAACTCGCTCTCGTTGTCCTGTAATTAATCAGCGCTAAGCGCCGTTACCCCAGGGTCTACATGTGCTGGATTTGTAATCCTTTCAAGCAGCAGTATCCTGCTGGGATGTGCCACATGCTTTGATTAGGGGCAGCCATAAAAGGGGTTATTACATGGCAGGCTGATGTCTGCGCAACTGCTTAATTAAAAAGTTGACGCACGTTCCTGTAAATAGATTACAATTGTAGCCTTTTATTGAGACTCGCACGTGTGGCGAAAGGGGTTAATCTTGTGGCTACATTTTCCACTTGGCGCCTCTCATTTGCATACCCTGTAATTATGTCTTTTGAATAATCACGTGTGATTGTCGGTGGTAGCAACATGGAGGGTGTGGGTTTCTGGCACTGATTCATTTTTGGGAAAAGAAAGCTTTTCAACATGGAACACCCCATGAAAAGCTTTTTACCCGCCATATTTGAATTCGCCACATGTTCATTATGGTGCAGCTACAGTTCGCTATATGAACTCTTCTGAACAAACCTTTTCAATACCCTTAATTGTATATAAGAAGTGTATAGTTTTGATTAATTATGATAATACCATTTTACGATTTAACCATAATCTGGGTTACTCTTTTATTCACATCATTGATTTGATCTGCCAATTAATCGATCCTTCTGCAAGAATACCACAATAGTTTGGTTTCATTGGGGCATTAGTGCATTCCTGCCCATTTAAGCTGTCCAAGTCGATTGATTGCAGTTTTGAAATTCAATTAGAAGCCACCGCCAAATCACGCAATTCAACAATTCCGAAATGTTACACGAGCTAAGGGCAAACAATGGAAACCACAAATCGCTTGTGTACTACAGCGGGTTAAAGCCCCAGGACTGACAGGACATGGACATGGAAGTGAACACGAAAGGCTTTAAGTTCGGGAGTAGCGAGTGTAGTTTTGGCCACAACAAGGGCTCGCGCTGAACTTTCGATTTCCGACAAGTTGTTGACGTAGTCTGGGGAACTCCCGGTGGGTGGCGAGACAGAAGGTACAGGAGGTGCGATGACAAGTTGGAGGGATCCTTGGGGGAATGTGGCTCGCCGGCTATCGGCGATTCTATCTAAATGACCCCGCCGGGTCATCTATTATTGATGGTGCCTAATTGTGCGCCGTTCTAGACGAACGGTTATCATTAGGGGTGTTGGTTTCCAGATGGAGTGGGTGGTGTGGTGGCGTGTTCGTCCTTGTGTTCGTTCGCGATAACGCGCCGTTCCGTCTTGGGCAACTCGATTCCACGCCCCTAATTAAAACGCTGCCCACACACTTGGGCAAATGGACTGAGGGCACTTTGTATGTAGATTTTATTTGACAAAATGTTTATGGCATTCGCAATTCGTTTACCACCACATCAAATCCTGTCGCTGGAAGCGGGAAATCCCAAACACATCCAGGGAACTCGGCGGCTGTCCTATATCACAAAATATTGTCATCTCCCGCCGATGGCGACGGATTTCTGAGTCACTCCACAGTGCCAAGTTCATGGGCTCCATGAGAGTCACAATCTGCAATGAGCGGCGTTTATATATGGCGGCAATATAATATGCGGGTGTTCAATCGACATTATGGTTTGCAAAGATTGAGCCATTATTCATTGTTTCTTAAAATAATAAATTAGCACAACGCACTCATAGTTCTACATTTGTTGTGTAATAAATTAAAAAAATAGTCATTATAAATAAATAAATCATTTGTAGAAATATGCTCAGAAATGCTAACTTAACCAAGTCTGACTAACTCACTTTTCTGTATCAGAGCGAGCAGTTGACTCAAGATTAAGGGCCACGAAACCGTATGAAACATGAAGTTGATTGAGGGATTGATAAAATATTTTTAAATGGTTTGGTGATATTTATAAACCAATTTCAGTACGGCAGATAAGTCTGCTGCTGTGGTGGCCAGTATATCAGCTTATCGGTTCATCGACTATAAGATAGTTACTTTACGATGGGCAGAATCGGTGGGGTAAGCACTATGCGTTGCGCATAGACGGTTGAAAATGTCGTTCAACAATGACTGCCATGGGCCAGACGTCCACTGATAAGCCGCCGATAAGCTTGGAGCTACATAGTTACTACTTTCAACTGGCGAGCTCCCACAGGCAGCACAGTTGCGATCGCACAAGTATGCCCAGAATTTCGTGCCTCGCTGAGTTTTCTATATTTATCCAGAGATAGCGTTACATCATGCCACACAGCGAAGATGTTTTACGAAAGCAAGCTATAAATTACAAATTATGGATTTCATTAGAGGGAGACGTTTTCTTTATAAATGTATGAAGCAAAATTTAAAGGGCTTATCGCGGATAACAAAAAAACACTTTCCGGTTTTCAAAATGGGCTTCGAAAAAAGCACAAAAACCTCTCGAAAAGCGAGTCGCCATCCCTCTCTTTCAATATTATTATCTCCAGGCGAAACATGAAAATATGGTAGGCAGTATTAGAAACAGAAAAGCAGGAAAGCAGATAAAAGCGACACGCCGATAATGATGCCACTGCCAACAAACAGATTGAGAGAAATAGTTGCTGCCCTCCCGCTCTCTGGGAAAGTGGGCCAGTAGGAAAAGTGGGCACCAGCAACTGGGAACTTGGCCGATATGTACGGCTCTGGGATCTCTGGCGATGACGAAATGCGGCACTCGCAGCCGCAGCCCACTGCTCGTATACGTGTTGTGGGCTCCCACTTGGCCACTCGCATTGAGTATACCACCCGTTGCCGGCTTCGCTCGGCCGACTGTTGCTGCTCTGCCGGCGTCTGCGCCGGCGCTGGCGTGTGCGCCAACAGCTCTGTCACCGCTGCCGCCTACTCACTGCTAAATACCCTGCAAAAGCAAGCACTTGGGTCCTTCTTCTTGCATCACAGTAATATTTGTACACCACTTTACGTGGTCATCATCAGCACAAGCTGAAGTAAAAGTAGAAGTAAATTGGAACGTAGGGCATTCCGCGTGCGCCTACAACCCATAGTTTTTCTCAGAGTTGGCCATGTTCCGAAGCGGCAGCATTGACTTTGAACCGAGAGTTGTTTGTGTAATGTTTACGGAATGTGTGAGCACAACAGAGAATGCAAACATAGGGGGTGGACTGAAGGAGGGGCGCGACGGGGAGGGGCGAACAGGGCATGGCGGAATGGTAGATAATAACTGTGGACGCAGCGAAGCGACAACAAATAAACTACAAATTGAATGGTCTTCAACGCAGTCGGCGTCGCAGTTCCAGCTGGCGTCGCTGTCGCCGATAGTTCTGGGTGCCACTATGGCAGCGCAGTCGACGCCGACGCCGGCAGCACCCGCTCTTTTCGATGTAAAATGTCGACCGATTTCAGAGGGCGTCGTTAGTCACTTGAGTTCGTTCGCCTGGTCAACAGCAGCGGAGAAAGCGAAGCGAGCAGAGAAGAGAGCGAGGAGCGCGAGGAATCCGAACCCGAATCCGAATCCCGGCGAATCCGTATCCCGAGAATCCGCACGATCCGTGCCACCAAAGTTATCGCCGCGGACTCAGTTACCCGGAATCCCGAACCACACCAAACGTAGGTTCCAAAAACGTGATCACAGACTGTATAATCGCGGAATACCATATGATTTTGTTGAAAAAACTCAGTGGGAAATCGACAATATCGCATAATAGTGCTATTTGTGCAGTTTTACCCATTCCAAAGCGGCTCTTTAAACAGAAAACTAATAACCGGCGATTATATGGTTGTTTTAATGCACTTCTGAAACTCTTGAAAACTGGCTTTAT